TGGGGGTGCTGTGAGGGGAAATGGGGGGGCTGAATGAAAAGATTTTGGGGGGATCTGTGGGGAAATTTGGGAGGGCACTGAGGGGGGGTGGGGCTGAGGGTGGAGATTTTAGGGGTCCTGGGGGGGGCTTGAAGGGAAATTTAAGGGGTCTGTGAGAGGAAAATGGGGGGGAAATGGGGGGGATCCTGTGAGGGGTCTGAGGGGAAATTTGGGGGGTCTGTGAGGGGAAGTTGGGAGGGCTGAGGGAGGAGATTTTTGGGGGGATCTGAGGGGAAATTTGGGGGGCTCTTTGGGGTTCATAAGGATAATTGGGGTTGAGGGGCTTTGAGGGGAAATTAGAGGGGTCTGTGAGGGGAGATGAGGGGGGCCTTTGTGGGGGGCTCTTGAGAGGTCTGAGGGGAGTTTTGGGGGGTCCGTGAGGGGAAAATGGGGGAATGAGGGGGGAGGTTTGAGGGGATCTGGGGGTCCTTTGGGGGCGTCCATGGGGAGGGGATTGTGGGGTTTGGGGTCCTGTTTTTCCCCACTTTTTGGGCTGATTGCTTCTTTTTTTGAGGCAATTCTTCCCTTCTTTGGGTGCTTTCTTTCCTTTTCTTGAGTATTTTTTATAACTTTTTTTTAGGCATAATTTCCTGATGTTTTCCCCCAATTTTTCCTTTCTTGACCCAGATTTTAAGTGGTGACTCTATTTTTTTCTCCACAATTTCCCCCTTTTCCCCCCAATTTGTCCACTCCTTCCCCTTTTTTCACCCTAGTTTTCCCTTTTTAGTGACAATTCTTTCTTTCCCCCCCGATTTTCCCTTTTCCCCTTGATTTTCTCTCTTTTCCTCCCCAATTTCCCCTTTTTTCATCCAATTTCCCACTTTCCCCCAATTTTTCATTTTTGTAGCCAAATTTCCCTTTTTCACCTTGATTCTCCCTTTTCCCTCCAAATTCTCCCTTTTTCCCTCCAATTTCTCCTTTTCCCCCCTGACTTTACCTTTTTCACCTCTGTTTTCTTGGTTTTCATCCCAATTTTCCCATTTTTAGTGATGATTCTCTAATTTCCCTGATTTCCCCTTTTTTCCCCATGATTCCCATTTTTTCCCTGATTCACCTGTTTTTCCCCCAATTCTCCCTTTTCTCCCCTGATCTTTTTTTTTCCCATTTTCCCCTTTTTTCCCCCAACTTTCATTTCCCCCCCATTTTCCGTTTTTCTCCCCATTTTCCCCCTTTTCACTCATTTTCCATTTTTTGCCCCATTTCTTCTTTCCCCCCACAATTTCCCTTTTTCACTGATAATTGTTTTCCCCACCTTTCATTATTTCACCCCCATTTTCAGCACTAATTCCCTTTTCCCCCCCCAGATTACCCTCTTTCAATGCTAATTCTTCTTTTCCCCCCTACATTTCCATTTTTCGCTGGTAATTCTTCCTTTTCCCCCCTGATTTTCCCTTTTTCACTGATCATTCTTCCTTTCCCCCCCACTTTTCCCTTTTCCTCCACCTTTCTTTATTTCACCACCATTTCCACCCCCAATTTCCCTATTTGAGTTCTAATTCTTCATTCCCCCCCCCAATTTCCATTTTTCACTGATAATTCTTCCTTTCCCCCCACCTTTCATTATTTCACCCCCATTTTCAGCACCAATTCCTCTTTTTTCATCCCAATTTTCCATTTTTCAGTGCTAATTCTTCCTTTCCCTCCCCCAATTTTTCATTTTTCACTGATAATCTTTCCTTTTTTCCCCCCGCT